TTTTTTTTTTTTGTTAATTATAGTTAATTTTGAAAAAAGAGTTATACGATTAGTTGGTAATGTGAATTTATGTTTAAATTTTAAAATAATATTTAAAAATAAAATAATTAAAGTTAATTTGATGAGAAAGTACGAGAAAAATGATCGGGAAGTCATGATCAATGAAAATTACGAGAATAAATGAATAACGAATTAAAATTAATGTAATGCATATGAATGATTGACTGATATTATTTAATTAGAATATTGATAATAGTCTAGAGTTAGAGTTCAATTTGAGTTCTGATCGTTTTTTTTTTTTTTTAGTTAGTTTATATCTAATCACGCCCTTATCATCCCGATAAACTATGCTTAATCAATATCAGATTATAAGTAAAGTAGGTGTTTGAAAGGTGTCAACAACTAACAATACGTCTCTAGTTAATGTAGAACTCTTCGAGAGTCCATTTATATATATTCACCCATAGAGCTTTCAATACATAGAAACCAAAACATGAGCGATGAGGTTAAATATAGTGTATTGTACGGAGCATGCATGCTTGAAACTCCACGTGACTCTTGGCAATCGAGTCGATGGCTGCCAGGAGTTGATCATACCGCCGGACCGATTTTATAACCCGACAGAGAACTGTTCCGTCTGCGGTTGTCACCTGAATTTCCACCGGAAGATTGTCCGGCGCGTGGTGCGCACGGTGTGCCACAAGAACCACAACCCAGCGGGCCCCGAGTCCAAGGACGGCTGCCAGAAGTTCACTTGTTCCCTTGAAAAAGACGTCTGCGCTGCTTGCGGCTGTCACGTTAGCTTTCACCAGAAAGAGGTGCTCGACTATGAATAGTAGCCATTTTTAAATGGATGTAGAAGCAAATAACATTGATTGATGTACCCAATTGTTATTTAATTCTCAATAATTGTGGGATACTGGTGTTACATTTTAATAGATTGATGATTGAAACGACAGTTACAACTGTTTTGAGTGATTTGCGAGTAGAAAATTAAGATTGAGAAATTCTCGTCGCTATTGATGAACCGCAATGGCGAATGTAAGAAATGGGGGAAAAGGAAAGCCCATATGAAACCCAAACGAGGTTCCATCCCAAAACCAATTGATGGAATTCCCACATTCTCTAGTCATTCCCTTACTACACATCCTCTCTCTATATGTGCTCTCATATGGATCCTGTACTGACTTAAGCATCGGAGGCCCAAAGCCGGGCATCCCTCCCGGGGTCCTTGGCTTTGGGTTCTTGCAGGTACGGTGGCCGTCCGAGTCGAGAGAGTCGGGATCTTTGTCCCATCATTTTGGCGCCGTCTGTGGGGATCGAACCCACGACCACGTTAGACTAGACTTATAAGGTGGGTCTATTTTCTATGTATGAACGATGTGGGACAACTCACAAGTGATATTCTAACACGTCCCCTCACTTGTGAGTCCTGATATCATGTCTCTAACCCAGGCACAAAGTGAGCTCTGATCATGTCGGGCTGGGCTCTGATATCATGTTGAGTCCTGATATCATGTCTCTAACCCAGGCACAAAGTGGGCTCTGATATCATGTCTCTAACCCAGGCACAAAGTGGGCTCTAATATCATGTCTCAAACATGTCTCTGATACCATATGTAAGAAACTGAGGGACCATATGAAGCCCAAACCTGTCTCAAACATGTCTCTGATACCATGTAAGAAACTGGGGGACCATATGAAGCCCAAATGGGGTTCCATCCCAAAACCAATTGGTGAAAGGAGGAGTAGCCCATTAGTCTTATAAGGTGGGTCTATTTTCCATGTATGAACAATGTGGAACAACTCACAAGTGATATTCTAACAGCGAATAAGGTCGCGACACTTGGTCCGGAAAACATAAGCCAAAAAACGAGTAGTAAAGCTAGAAAAACTCGTGTTCTATATAGAGAAACTGTGAAAAAGAATCTATGTTTATGATTTGCAGACCCTTTGACAATAATATCTAACATCTCTATAATTAATGGGAGATGCTACAGTCCCGTTACGGCACCATTTCGTCGGGTTTGTAACCGTTAGATCATCTGGTAATCGTCGGGGATAGTTGATCTAACGGTTACAAACCCTGACGGAATGATTCCGTAACGGGACCTTAGTATTTTCCATAATTATAATAGAGACAAAAAGGAGTGGTGGAAATCACGAAAACTGAAACCCGTGAATAAGATAAATCGAATTTATGTCTATGATTAGCATTTGACCCATTCGGACCAACACCTTCCTGAATAAAAAGGCCACTCGAGTCGACTCTGCCTTAGCCATGTCTAGCTGCACTTTCCTGAATAAAAAGGCCACTCGAGTCGACCCTATCATGTGCCTTAGCCATGTTTAGCTTCAACGCAAGATTTGGAACTCGTAAACTAGCTTCAGCGCAAGATTTGGAACTCGTAATTGAACTTAAATAATGTTATCGCTAATGACTCGAGGTTAGGTTAGCCTTATTAGTACACATAAAACACTAGTGGCAAGTGTACTGTATAATTGCATTATTGCCGAAACAAAAAAGTTATTCCAACTTGAAAGAAAGTGTACTGTATAATTGCATTATTGCCGACACAGAAAAGTTCTTCCAACTTGAAAGAGAAGTACAAGAAAGAACAAATTTCTTCAAACAAAACCCAGAAGAAAAATAAAAACCCAGAAGAAAAATAAGGAAGGCAATGGCGGATCCCCCCGAATGTTGCAAATCACACGCGCATATGGACGGGAAGATCGACGGCTGTCAGCAGTTCATGGTTGGCTGGAGGGACCCCTCGGACTGCCGGATCTGCGGCTGCCACAGGAATTTCCACCGGAAACCGGAGCGGCCGGTCAAGTACGAAACTGTGGTTGTCTATACGAAGTGCCAGAAGATCCACAATTTCAAGTTCCAGAGCACGGTGGACGGCTGCCAGGAGTTCATCCCCAAGGACGACACCACCGCCGCCGCCGCCGGGCTAACCTGCGCCGCGTGCGGCTGCCACAAGGGGTTTCATCGAAATTAGATCACCAAGCGAGTAATTTAGAAGTTTTTTTCTTCGGTTTTTGCTCTTGCTGCCTTTGCTATGTGTTGTCCTCTGCTTTTTTTCTTTCATTACATTATATGTATCTATCTCTGATGTGTGAGGTTTTCTTTTATTAAATAATGTGTGCTCAGGTTGTCTGTAATGAGAGGTAAAAAAATGTTGTAACTGTGTTTCTGATGTGTGGATTTCTGTTTTTCCTACAGTGTGTAAGGAGAAACATTATTGTATAAGAGTTGAATTAGTTTGAATATAGTTTGGTGAAAAATGTCATTAGTAAAGAAAATATTGCTATACATTCATGAGATTCACGAGCCGCTTATAATTTTTTTTTCTCTTCGATTCTGTGAATAAAGAGATAATGGTGTAGAAATTTGGACCGACTGCATCAACTCCCGAGCCGCTTGCTTAAACATTTTTCCTAGTTTCCGAAATATGGCTTCGGATGCGCGGTTATTGCTCAACTTTTTTTCTTGATGTATTTCCACATCTCACTGGTGGCCAACTTGGTTTGTGCAGCCTGGTTAAGTAAATAAAAAAGGCGTGAAGATTAACCAATGCTTAATTTTATCGTTGTTTCTCTATGCATATCAACTTCGTACTTCACTGTCATTGCCTTCATCCGTTTTTTTCATGATCGCACAGATCGCGACTGGAATTTCTCACCTCTTTTACCTTAATGCATCTTCGTGGAGAAATCCCATTCTTAATCTGTCTAGTGTGGAACCGGAAGCCAATTCCGAAGTCCTACAGCTCCATGTGGTGTCATTATCTTTGTTTGCAGATTATCTTTGGTTGCATCAGATGGTCGTGGCCCTAAATGGGCTTAGGCGGTTTTTACACATTACGAAGAAGAAATGCTTGTCGGCTTTTAGGTGGATCACTTTCTTTTTTCGCACTCTTTTCTTTTCTTGTAGTTTCTTTTCTTTAGTTCCTTACTGTCTGAAGACAGTGGAACTCATGTGCAACATAGAGAAGCTGTGAAGCAGTTGTATGCAAGCACTCCCAAGTCCCCAAGTAGTAATAGTCTTTTGGGATATTGGTTTACATTTTGGTGTGTATATAAAAGTCCAGAAAGACAGTGTAATGAAGTTTGGTATTTGTTTATCTTCTGTCAAATGTATATGCTCAATAATATTTTCAAGAATTTTTTCGAATTACACGTATACACAACACACACTCTCACCGGACCAAAATAAACACGTCTTGTATTCATTCAGAGCACAACCTTTCTCCAGAACCAGTGTTTTTTCCACAGGAAAACCATCTCCTCTATGGGAACCCCTTTTGTCTCGGGTAAGAAGAAGTAGACAAAAACTGTCATGATCGTGATCCAGCCGGCAAAGAAGAGGAAAATCCCGAACTTGAACGCACACAAGAGGGAGAGGAAAACCTGCCCGATTACAAAGGTGAAGAAGAGGTTGACTGCCACAGTTATACTCTGGCCCGCCGACCTCGTCTCTAACGAGAATATCTCGCTAGGTATAGTCCACCCGAGCGGGCCCCATGACCATCCGAAAGCCGTCACAAACAGGCAGATGACGATCACCACTAGTATCGAGTAAGTTCTAGAAAGTTCCTGGTTGCTGTTGAATTTCAGCCCCAATATGATAGAGACTATGATCTGGTTTAAAGAAAGAACCAAGATTTTAATAGATTGAAGGTACAAGTGAATTAGTTGAATAGATATATTTTTTACCTGACAAATAACCATCTGTATTCCTCCTGTAATCAGCAAAGCCCTCCGGCCCACTTTGTCAACAGTCGCAATCGAAATGAAGGTCGACAGTGCCAACACAGCACCTGTCACGGCCGACGAGTACAAAGATGCATTCCCCTTGAACCCCATGCTCTGGAAAAGCACGGGAGCGTAGAACAAAATCGAGTTAATCCCCGTCAGAATCTGAAAAGTCGGCATGAAGACCGCCATCGCCAGCTGTGGCCTGTTCCTCCTCTCCAGAATGTTCCTGAAAGGATGCTCGACCGATTTCGCCAGCTCGCTCGCGTCGACTATGTCCTGCAGCTCGGCATGCACGTCGGCCGTGCCCCTGATTTTCTCCAGCACCCTTTTCCCCTTAGACTCGAACCCTTGTTCGATCAAGCTGTTGGGGGTCTCGGGCAGCAGGAGCCCGCCAGCTGTCATCAGGACAGCTGGCACCGCCGCCAGCCCCAGCGAGAGCCGCCAGCCCCACGGCTCGAGCTTCTGGGTCCCGTAGTTTATCATGTTTGCGGTGAATATCCCGAGCGTGGTCGCCAGCTGGAACATCATGTTGAGGGCTCCCCTTATGTGGGTCGGTGCCATTTCTGATAAATACAACGGTACTGCCTTTAAAAATTTTAGCTTGTTAGCGAAATTCAAACCTTTTTCAAACAAGCTACTAATAATTAATTAGTCGAGGAAAACAGTAAGATACCTGATTGCCGAAGCCGATGCCTACGCCAAGCATAATACGGCCGAGAATGAGCATGGCGAGATTAACTGCCGAGGCGTCGAGAGTTGCTCCTATGACGAAACTTATGCCGCCACATATGATACTCCCTCGTCTGCCGTATTTCCTTGTGATTGGAGACGCCAACAGTGAGGCCACCAAGCCAGCTAGATAAAGAGAAGACGTGAAGGCTGCGAGGCCTTGATTGTTGTACTTGCAGTAATTGTTCTCGTGCGCGTGCATTTTGCTTCTGTACACGGTCGGGAAGAATTTCTCGAGAAATCCATCCATTGATGTGACTCCACCTATAGTTTTTTACGGCGAATATTATGAGACAAATTGTAAGGTAAGTGAAGGCGAACGGAAGTGTTTGTTACATTGTGAGAACTTCTTTACAGAGGAAGGCCAGATGATGACACTTTGTCCAATTCAGACATCATTAATTTAAGGTATTGAAAATCTGCAAATTTAAATGAAGTTACTTTGCAGCTTCAGGATTTGATCTTTACTATTGTTCTTATCTTTTCCTTTCATTTTTCCCCCCTCTTTTCCTGCAAAAATTCCCCTTGATACAAATTCTGTCTAGAAATTTTGCAGAAAAGGTCACCTGATATCCCAATATCATAGCCAAAGAGTGATCCCCCAATAGCAGCAACAAGGCAGGCAATTATCACATAAGGTGTGACCTTTCCCTTATACTCGCCGGCCCGTTCCACCCCAGTCGGCCCGAACCCGCCCGCCATAGCAGCTGCAAGCCCTTCTTTTTCTTTGTACTAAACAAGATTTCTTGAAATTAACTGTCAACTGCAAAGAAAAAAAAAAGAAAAGAGCAAAAGAAAAATGAAAATGAAAAATATCTTCTACCTCCAGCAAGAAAGGCCTTCTTTTTATACCCAACTCTTGGGCTCAAAAAAAAAAAAAAAAAA